TCTCCCAGAGGACCCAGGTTCAATTCCCAGCACCTACTTGGCAGTTCACAGTGGTCTGTGTCTCCAGTTCCAGGGGTTCTGATACTTTCATGCACATAAAATAAAAGTTAAATAAATTGTTTTTAAAAACATGGATAGTCAAAAGACATGATGATAGATCCCTAGAGCAAGGAGGATGGCATAGGTTGTATTGGAAGAAATTACAATACTTACTATATCGCCAGAGAGCATAGGTTGTGCTATATCACAGAACCAGTGTAGGCCCCCATGGGAGCATAATTGCTGAACAGGTACATCATGCTTGTACATGTAGAAAGAAGTAGGTTGAAATAAAAGAAGAATTGAAATACAGGATGTTCATAGTTTGCCACACCAATAAGATTAACATGGAAAGTCTCCCATCAGTATAACAAAAAGTTGTTATATTTTTACCCCCACTGGAACTTGTAAATAAGACCAATTTGGTAACATTACTTACATATGAATAGTATGAACATCAATAACATTAACATAAGTGGGTCTTCCATATGACAGTCCCTACTCTGACGGGGAGGCGAAACTACTTGTTAAGCCAGAGAGGTGTGTGACATAGGTATCTTGACCTCTGGAGAGTCAGTGACTGAACCACCCTTCAAAGAGAGAGGTGCCCAGAGGCCAGGTTTTTGGACTAACCTGCACTGTTTTGTGTTTCTTACAGACGTTCCCACAAGCCTGCACTTCCAGAGCATGCTGAAGTCTCAGTGGCAAAATAAGCCTTTTGACAAGATCAAACCTACCAAAAAGTTTTCACTTAAGCACAGAGCACCCATGCCATGCAGTCTGTCAGATCCAGTTCGCAAAGACAGACATAAGTTGGTCAACTCCTTCCTTACAACAGCCAGTAAGTTTCAGGGAACTAAGGACTCTTTTGTAGTCACTATTGTTATATTTTATACCTTTTATAATCTCTGGTTACTGGTTTGCTATGCCAGTATTCTGGGATTAGAAAAAGCATCTAGTTACCTAATACAAATTCTTCTCTCAGGTAGACTTTGGAAGCTATTTCAAACAAGCAGAACCTAAAATGTTCAGTGAACAGCCAGTAGTAACATGATACTGGGTCTACCTGTGGGCAGGTTGACTCTTAAATCCTGGTGTTAACATTTCTGTTTGTGACTCCCTGTCCCTGTCCTAGCTATTGTACTATTAACTAGAAGATTGAGTCCCAAAGACTGTTATGCTGCCTTGGGTATATACCATTGGCCTAAGGATAACTGAAGAGCTCAGAACTCAAATAAGATTTGAGTGAAGGTACTTCACAGCTCTTTTTTGTTCCCCTCTTCAGAGCTGTCCCATCACCAAACCCGGCCTGACAGGACCCACAGGCAGCACTTAGACGATGTGGGGGCTGTGCCCATGGTGGAGCGAGTGACAGCTCCAAAAGCAGAGCGCTTGCTCAATCTACCGCCACCTGTACATGACCCAAACCACAGCAAAATGAGATTGCGAGACCATTCATCTGAGAGAAGTGAAGGTAGGGCCAGGCCCAGCACCTCTACCTGCATTGGCACTTGCTCAGAGCTTTCTGGGACAGCCCAAGCTTCTCTTAAAACCCCCTATCCCAAGCTTTGTCCATTACTTTCTAGAAAGGCATGGTAGGGGGCACTATTGCTTCTAAACGCAGGTCACTTCTTACTGCTACATCATCTGCCTGGTCCCTTATTTCCCATCAACTAGTTGCTGCAGCTTTTTATCCTCTAGGCTTAAAAAGCATTTATTTTTTTATTTTTTTTT